AAAAAAAAAAAAAAAAAAAAAAAAAAAAAATTTGTTAGACATTAAGCACAGATAATGTAAGATTCAAGGCCAAATAGGCTACTGCACAAGCTTAAGAAATATCAAGGCAAATAGACTATGCTGATGATCCAATATAATACAAAGCAGTAAAGCAGAGCAAAAGGAGACATTAAGTAGTGCCAAAAAAAAACTCAGGGCCTTGTCTTCATCATTAGAAAAAAATAAACAAAGCATACTGCAAACTACTTAGACTAAGACAAAAAAGAACAAAAAGATAAGGCATCACTCGAATAGCAAAAGAACTAAAGACACTAGGAAGGAACAGGTTCGTGGGTGAGAAGTAGAGGGGGTCAAAGCTTTCACAAGGGTGACAATTTGTTGGGCATGAGCCTCCCTATATCTTCTGAGATCTTCCCTGAGTTGCTTTGTTTTCTTTCTCAACTCATTATTGTCTTCACGAAGCTTGATATTCTCTTCAACAGCCAACTCCAACCTCTTACTGAGCTCTGCAGCTCTACTGCTCCCAAGTAGAATAGCAGATCTTGTGGGTCCTCTAGCCTTGATCTCCTCATACCCACACTGCTTGAGGGTAACAACATCCAAAATGCCATTGTGGTTTCAAAACTTAAGCTTAGGTAAGGCAATGTTGAGCTTGTCAAACAACTCAGTCAACATATAACCATAAGGCATAGCATGCTTGGGTTTGGAAGTGTCTGCAGGTCTTGCCATGTGCTGAATCATCAGGCTCGGAAGATTGATAGGTCTACCAATGTCAAGTAGCTCTATCACAGCCATGTCCAGTAGAGTAGCTTCATGTCTTCTCTCAGACCTCTGAAGTATACAGGATATGACAAAATGAAACAATAATTTGTGGAAAGGAGTCATATCAGTCTTGTACACTTTCTGGGGAGCATCTAGTTCAAACTTTTGGGAGAACTTTCTTGTGACCACAGTGCTAGTGTCAACATCATTGTCTATGGCTGACCACTTTTCCTTCAAGTAATTGTCAAATCCCAAGGAAGAGATATCCAAAAGCATCCCCAGCTCATCAGCATCAAACTCCATCTCAAAGCCCCTTACCTTACTCTTGACTACTTTCCCATCAAATTTGAAATTTGCATAGAACTCCACCACAGTAAGAACACATATTGGGGGGAAAGCTTTGAAAAACATGTGCTTCCACCCATGTAGCTCAATTTGAAATTTCATCAATGTTCCCAAGAATCTTTCCATTTAGCACTTTTCTGTTCCCGAACTCTGTGAGTCGATCAACTGCAGTTGGCACATTCTTTCTTGTCTTACCCCTACTGCCCTTGCAGAAGGGGTAACAGATTTTCTAACTTTGGAACCCTTTCTCTTTGGTGTAGAAGACTTAGTTGGCAAGGCAGAGTCATACTCATATTCTCCATCCACCTCAACAATAGGTTCCACAATTGAGACCTTCTTCTTTAGCTTCTTTGCACTTCTAGACTCCTTAATGATTTGTGCATCAACAACCTTTCTTTTACTCCTTGTAAGAGGAGTTCTGGCAGTAGGAGCCACCCTTTTCCTTTTTGAGACTGCTGACTTTGTAGCTTGCCCAATGGTCTTCCTGGGTTTCTTCCCTACCTCAGATAGTGGCACATCATCTTCATCACTGCTAGCTTCTTCATCTCCAGTGAAAGGAGTTAAAAGAGACCCAGGTTCTTTAGCCCTTGTCTTCACCAGTTTTTTCTGAAGGGGCTATGACAGTGTTCCCAATTGTCATGGAACCTTCATATTCCTCACTCACATTCCCATCTTCTTCCTCACTCTCTTCATCACCTCTTTCACTCTTACTTACCTTTTCTTGATCCTTACCCTCACTTAGAGAGTCCTCTTCTTCACTAAGATTTTCTTCTTCTGCAGAATCATTAAGTTGTTCACTTGTCTTATCATATGTATCACTCTCCTTCTCATCTCCAGATACTCCCTCATTCTCACTCTTTTCTTCTTCATTGGCTATGTTTTGAGCATCATGCACCTCATGACTGTTCACAGCTTCTTCTTCTTTTTTACCCTCATCATCTTCCTTAACCTCAGTCCAACTAAAAGAAAAGCCATCAGAAGCCTTCTTTTGCACAGGTTCTTTACTTCCTTCCCCCTCAACCACAGGCTCCACAGCTGTAGTATCTACCTCCTTACCCAGATCCCCTACACCCTTTTCTATAGTGAATTTCTCCACTGGTGGCTTTTCACTCATGGGTGGGAGAGTATCTAGGGGTACAACATGTATAGTAGACACCAAAACATCTAATTTGGAAGGAGGATGTTGTACTTGATCAATAGTGACTGACATTGATTCCCCCTGAACCACAAATTCCTTGGCTACAGTGTCACCTTGCGTAGCTGCATCAGGCACTTTCTTGACAGATTTTCTTGGAGTGGCCTTGACCTTTGTTGACTTAGGGGTATTTTTAGCAGTAAGCTCAGGTGTATGGGTGGTTGATTTTGGAGGAAGGGATACTGTGGATGTAGGAATGATAGGAACAACATGAACAGTAGGAACATGGGATGATGATGTAGGTATAGTGGAGGATATTGAAGGAGAAGGAACGGGTGTGGGTGTAGGTGTGGGTTTCCTTGATGGCTTGGAATTTTTCTTTTAATTTGGGTTTCATGATTTTGGGTTTTGCTTCAGCCTTGATTGATGATTTGGATTTAGAGGGTTTTTGACTAGCTTTAGGCATGGTGATCAGATGAGAGACTCGAAGAAGAGAAAGAGAGAATTAGTTCTTGATAACTGCTTTTTTTCTTGCTTAGGGTTTGTGAGAAACAATGAGATCTGAGAAGTTGTTCATAAGAGCATTTTAAAGACATTACTCCTGATTTGACTAGAAGAGAGAAGGTGACCGAATTTGAGTTCTAACGGGACTCTTATAACGGTTACTTTGACTGTTAGGATTTCAGAAGTAATTGAATTCTAATTGCACTAGGATTCCCCCTTACTCTTTGACTAGAAGACGATTGGAAGTGATGCCAACGGGATTAGAAGTCTGAGTATAGCAATAATTTAAGGATATAAAGTCCTAGTGACTTAAGACAGTATGGCACATACCTGAGTCAAAGAACCAACTCCTAAGCAACTCCTTATTTGTTTCTGCAAGAAAGCTTCAGCACTTCATATTAGTATCATGGAATACAGTTATCAGCTAGATTTTCCAAGCAAGTAAGTGAGCTTAATACAAGAACAAAACTAAATCAAACACATGGTACTCAATTATCTACATTTAATTATGCCTTTTCTAGCCATCGCTGAGATTCAACTTAGTGGGAAGAGTTGATTAGACCTAGTTCTAGTCTATTCCTTTCAAAGTGATCCCTACTGAGAGCTTTAGTAAAAATATCAGCAATTTGATCTTCAGTTTTACAAAAGTTAATTGAGATATTCCCATTTTCAACATTGTCTCTGAGAAAGTGATGTCTAATGTCAATGTACTTGGTTCTCTTGTGCTGGCATGGATTTTGAGCAATGTTTATGGCACTGGTGTTATCATAGAATATGGGAACACAATTAACAAATATACCATAGTCCCTTAGTTGTTGTCTTATCCATAGAAACTGAGCAAAGCAGGATGTTGCTACCACATATTCAGCCTCAGTTGTAGATAAGGCCACTGAGTTTTGCTTCTTGGTTCCCCAAGACACCAGACAAGAACCTAGAAAATGAGTTGTTCCTGAATTGCTTTTCCTATCAACATGAAAACATGCATAGTCAGCATCAACATAACCAACTAGATCAAAGATATACCCTCTGGGATACCATAGATAGCCTTGAGATGTCTTAGTATCCTTTTGACAACCTTCAGGTGAGATTCCTTAGGATTTGCCTGAAATCTTGCACATAATCCCACACTGAACACTATATCAGGCCTGCTTGTTGTGAGGTACAACAATGACTCAATCATTCATCTATATAGTTTATGTTCTGTACTTTTCCCTTATTTATCAATGTCCAGCTTTGTTGCAGTTGCAATGGTGTGTCAATGGACTTAGAGGAATCCATGTTGAACTTCTTCAGTAATTTTTTGATATATTTCTATTGATATATCATGGTTCCAGTAGGTGTTTGCTTGATTTGCAGCCCCAGAAAAAAGTTCAATTCACCTATCATGCTCACTTCAAATTCATTTCCCATCATCTCAGCAAATTCCTTGCACATTGCTTCATTGGTAGCCCCAAAGATAATGTCATCCACATACACTTGCATAATCAAAATATTCTTCCCTCTGCTCCTTAGAAATAGAGTGTTGTCCACCTTTCCTCTTACAGAGTTGTTGGCTAAGAGGAATTTTGAGAGCCTTTCATATCAAGATCTTGGAGCCTGTTTCAGTCCATAAAGAGCTTTATCCAGTTTGAACACATAGTCAGGAAATCTTCACTTTCAAATCTAGGAGGTTATTTGAAAAACTGATGGTAGGCTATAATTGCGTGTTTTAGTTGCTTATCGCACTCTAATTTACTGCACTTTAATTGAGTTTGAGCGTTAATCGCTAGTATTTTATACTAATTATATTTTTATGCCTTGTAGGAGTGATCCTGAGCTATGTAGATGTTATGGCATGAATTCAAGCTATTCTGGAACTTTGAAGTCTGAGTAAAATCTCAAGGATTAAGTTGGGATCGTGTTCGGGGATCAACGGACAATCATGCACTTAACGAAAGAAACGGAGAATCGAGAAGGACGCTACCCAGGTGCGCGAGTGTGCACTGGGCGCGCAAGTGAGGAAGAATACCTTCCAAAGTGCGTGGCCATATGCGCGAGCACACTCCCATGTGCGCGTCCGCGCACGTCCTATTCCGAAAAGAGTCCTATCTCGCGTAGGAGAAGGTGTGTTTGTTTGGGCCCGACCCTACTTGGTATATATACATAGAAAACGGTATTTTGGGACTTTTGACACATCTAAGATGTAAGGAGAAGTTGTAGAAGAAGAGCACAAAGGATTTCATCATTCAATCCTCACTCAAGACAAAAGTTTGGATCGTTATATGTTTTTCTTTAACTTAAACTTATTTATGATAAACTACTCCATATCTATGGAGTAGTTCTCTTTAGGGATTGATGGATTTGGTGTATTGAGAATTGTTTGTGGATATTAACTCTAGTTTTTATGTATTGGATCGTTTTGGGTATTTTAATTATTGCATCTATTTTCACATATTCATGTAATCGAAATAGGCATAACTTGTGATGTTTTTGTATTATATTGTTGGTTGAATTCATTGATTCTTCATAGTAATCGAAAGCGGCTAGTTGAATTATTGTTTAGACCTAGTTAGGAGGATAATCAGAAGAGGTTCTCCTAAAGACCAATCCACAATGAATTCCTGCATATCTTCACAGAGCTTAACTTAGTTCATCTTGTGAGGTTGAGACTTAATCGAGAGAGGAGTTTCCACTGAACGTTTGAACTAATAATTGAGTGAATTCGAGAGACTCACTTTAACCTTATAAGTGAATCGACTAGATTTAAACCCCAGACAAGTATCTTGCACCTATCCAATCAACCCCTATTTTCTCCCATTGATATTTTCTTTGCTTACTCTTGTTGCGATTGTCATTAGCCAATAGTTTAGACTTTTAGTTAATTTT